GGGCGTCCAGAAAATATCTCTCTCTCTCTCTCTCCCTCTCTCTCTCTCTCCTCTCCTCTCTGTCTCTCTCTCTCTCTCTCTCTCTGTCTCTTCTCTCTCTCTCTCTCTTGTCTCTCTCTCTCTCTCTCCCTCTCTCTCTCTCTCTCTCTCTCTCTGTCTCCCTCTCCCCTCCTCTCTCTCTCCTCTCTCTCTCTCTCTCTCTCTCTGTCTCTCTCTCTCTCTCTCTCTCTCTCTCTCTCCCCCTCTCTCTCTCTCTCTCTCCCTCTCTCCCCCCCTCTCTCTCTCTCCCCCCTCTCTCTCTCTCTCTCTCTCTCTCCCTCTCTCTCTCTCTCTCTCCTCTCCCCCCTCTCTCTCTCCCCCCTCTCTCTCTCTCTCTCTCTCTCTCTCTCTCTCTCTCTGTCTCTCTCTCTCTCCCCTCTCTGTCTCTCTCTCTCTGTCTCTCTCTCTCTCCCCCTCTCCCCCTCTCTCTCTCTCTCCCCCCTCTCTCCCCTCTCCCCCTCTCTCTCTCTCTCTCTGTCTCTCTCTCTCTCTGTCTCTCTCTCTCTCTCTCCCCTCTCTCTCCCCCCTCTCTCTCTCTCTCTCCTCTCTCCCCCCTCTCTCTCTCTCCCCCCTCTCTCCCCCCCTCTCTCTCTCTCTCTCCCCTCTCTCTCTCTCTCCCCCCTCTCTCTCCCCCCCTCTCTCTCCTGTATTATCCCCGGCTGAATGTGGGGTTCACTGAGTCTGCGTGGATCAAACGAGCAGCAGCTAGAATGAATCTGTTATTATGTGATGCAGTGAACAGGTTCGCTGAGTGAGGCTTTAATGTGTTTCTGTAAACAAACGTCAGGATGAGCTGGAACGTCACCTTCTGAAGAGACAGGTGTGACACTTTGACGAGGGGGGGGGGGGGGGTAGTCTCCCTCCTGTGGTAGATTACAGATATTACAAATTAGGTGATGTCACTTTAAAAGAAAAATCACTTTCCAATGAACTTAAAGAAACCAGAGTGACTGGTGAGTAAATACAGGATGGTGATGAATATGGAGATGTGAGACGCTCTGTCTTCACTGTGATTGGCTGTGGGCGGAAACAGCCGGCATATCTGAGGGTGTGTGTGTGTGTGTGTGTGTGTGTGTGGTGTGTGTGTGTGTGTGTGTGTGTGTGTGTGTGTGTGTGTGTGTGTGTGTGTGTGTGTGTGTGTGTGTGTGTGTGTGTGTGTGAGACCTTCGACCCCGGTCTCCACTCTCACAGATGGGGTCGTCTTTGTCGTCTGAGCGCTCCTGTCGTGTCTGATTCTGTCCCACCTCCAACACATTTCTCCCTGAGCCCCCCCTCTGCCTTTATCTCTCTCTTTGCCCCCCCCCCCTCCCCCCTGTGTTTTTATGATTACACAGTAAGGTCACAGTTACCCCGGTGTTATATAACTCTCCCCTTAAAGCCTCGACCCACTTCCTCCCCCAGAAATATGAAGTGCACTCTCCACTCTTATTTAGAAGAAGATTTTTTTATCTGCGTCTCCTCCGCTGGAGAGGCTGAATGCTTCATCCTCGAAGAAATAACGAGGGAACATACGGGTGGGAGACGCAGAGTAACTCAGGATTTATTAAAATTCAGACTGACCGACTCGTCTGAAGTTAAGAAACGACGCCGAAAACAGTCAGAAGCGAGCGCAGTTGTAACGCAACGCTAGCACGAACTCCTTCATGCCTGTGGTTACTATGGTTACGAGTCCCTCAGTCTAACCTGACGATCCTGTCTCTTGTGCTTCTCCTCCCCGCAGATCGTCTCCGGTGTCCAGCGAGGAGCTCCTGCTCAGCTGCGGTTTCCTGCTCTGTAAAGGTCTGGTGTCCCGCATGGACCTGGTCTCGGTCCAGCTCTCCTCTGGCCCTCGCCTCTTCTCCTTCCTCTCCCTCGCCTGGGGCTTCGTGGCGGACGTGGACATCGAGAGCGAGAAGTACCGCCACGTGGGAGCGGCGCGGTTCACCGTGGGCACGCTGGTGCGGTTGGCGTCCCTCCGGGTCTACAGGGGCCGGCTGGCGTACCTGCCCGCCCCCGACCAGGAGACTCTGAGGAACGAGGTGACCCTGCACTGCAATAATCAGACGCTCAGGTCCAGAGACTCTGTCGGACAGAACACCTTCCACAACTCCTGCCACTCCAACAACTCCCTCAAAGCGCGGCGGACAGAGAGCACGCCGTCCAGAAGTCCCCACAAGGCGCCCCGCGGCCCGCCGGACTCCCTGCTGCCGCCTCTGGACCAGCAGCTGCCCGGGGACTGGGTGCTGGTTCAGGAGGAGGACTTTGTGCTCATGCTGGCTATGTACCACTCCCACCTGGCCGAGGACCTGCTGGCAGCACCGGGCGCCGCCCCGGACGACGGGGTCATCCACCTGTTCTACGTCCGAGCGGGGATCTCCCGCGCGGCGCTGCTGAAGCTCTTCCTGGCGATGGAGAAAGGCGAACACCTGGGGACCATCTGTCAGCATCTGGTGTACGTGAAGGTGCGGGCGCTCAGGCTGGAGCCGTTCTCCCCCAAAGGGATCATCACGCTGGACGGCGAGGTGGTGGAGTACGGGCCGCTGCAGGCCGAGGTGCACCGAGGACTCGCCAGATTAATCACCGGATGAACTGAACGCACGTCGACACGGCCGAATGAAGACGCTTCAGCTTTAAAAATGTAGCGCAGGGCGGGAACAGGAAGGACGGCGTTAACTCCTCGACATCAACCTCAAAACATTGCACAGAGAAAACAGAGAAGTTCTGGGATTAAGAACGAGCGAGACCCGTTAAGAGACCCAAAGTGTTCAACACATAACGACATTAAAAACGACCAGAACAGGAAGTAAACAAACCCGAAAAAATCATTAATTTATTCATAAAGCGGAAACAAGACCGGCCTAGACCACAACTCCCTCACACTACCCCCTAAACACAAGATGATGATTATTCAGTGATAGTTCTGGTCTCGATCTTGTTCTTGGTCTTGGTCTTGGTCATGGTCTCGGTCTTGGTCTCGGTCTTGGTCATGGTCTTGGTCTTGGTCTTGGTCTTGGTCTCGGTCTCGGTCTTGGTCATGGTCTTGGTCTTGGTCTTGGTCATGGTATTGGTCTTGGTCTTGGTCTTGGTCTTGGTCTTGGTCATGGTATTGGTATTGGTCTTGGTCATGGTCATGGTCATGGTATTGGTTATGGTCTTGGTCATGGTCTTGGTCATGGTCTCGGTCTTGGTCTCGGTCTTGGTCTTGGTCTTGGTCTTGGTCTTGGTCATGGTATTGGTATTGGTCTTGGTCTTGGTCATGGTCTTGGTCATGGTATTGGTCTTGGTCTTGGTCTTGGTCATGGTATTGGTATTGGTCTTGGTCATGGTCATGGTATTGGTTATGGTCTTGGTCATGGTCTTGGTCATGGTCATGGTATTGGTCTTGGTCTTGGTCTTGGTCATGGCCATGGTCTTGGTCTTGGTCATGGTCTTGGTCTTGGTCATGGTCTTGGTCTTGGTCTTGGTCTTGGTCTTGACTCAGTCTCGATCCCTAAGTGTCTCAGCCTTGGAGCACTCTAGTCTCGGGTATGTCTGGGTCTCAGTTAGGTGGGTCTTGAGTGGTCTTGACTACAACCCCCCCGTCATGTAATATCTGGGTCATGTTCACCGTTATGGGAGGTGTGTTCATATTTCAAAGTGTCCTTCTTTTCATGTTGGTGTTTATCTGTCAATCAAGACAAAGATTTCAGACGCAGCTCTGTGATTGGCTGTTTAGTCTAGTCAGTGAAAATAACCTGAGATAAAGTAAAACACTCCGTTTATCTGACACCGGCCTGAAATAAATTCAGCCGCTCCCTGAGACGCTTCATTTACGCTGCTGTCTCTTTAAGGCGCTCCTGGTGGGCGTGTCCTACAGCTCTGCTCCACGCTCTGCTCTGATACGTCGTCAGGCTCGGGCCGAGTCTCGAGAAGTTCTCGTAGCGTCTCGTTCAGAGCCGACAGCTGTGAATCTCCGCCGAGGTTTAGTACAGACGTCGAACATCATAACTTTATATTTATATATTTAAAAATGAATCTGAAATATAAAATCAGCTTCATGAAAAAAAGACTTTTGGAAATGTGTGTGTGTGTGTGTGTGTGTGTGTGTGTGTGTGTGTGTGTGTGTGTGGTTTACACTTCGGGTCGTCTTGCTTTGCGTCTGTTTATCAATCAGGGAGATCTTTGTCTGGTCCGACGGAGCGTCTGACCTCGAACATGAAGCTCGCAGCGGAGCGAGGAGAGCGCGGCGTCCAGCGAGGAATCACGTCAGGCGGACGGTCGATCATGTTTATTTTTCATATCAAATCAAAGATGTTTGAGAGGCTCCTAAAGGTTTCTGATCCGAGGCTGATCGTCACGGAGTCAGAGCGGACGCCTGAACGAGTCGAGTTTTCTCAGCGAATCACGTCACCTTAATTTCTCTCTCAGATTCAGATTCAAATCTGTTTCTTATTGTAACACATCCTCGTTCTCCCTCTTTGAGATGAAGTGGTTCTCAGCCGGTTCCCCTCAGGTCGAGTTGGTCGCAAACCAAACTAATCAGATTTATTTAATTAGACGGTGCAAAACATGTGACAGAAGAATGAGCGACTTTTTTGATCCAGTAGATGAGCACCAACAGGAAACCAAAACAAACTTCTGTTAGGCCACGCCTCCAACTCTCCCCTCCCCTCGCGTTTTGCACAAAGAAGTTTAGCACAAGCAGCTTACTAAATCGTCCTCGGCTCGAGCTGCAATCACCTGTTTCCTGCATTGTTGTGTTAGCATGCTAATGTTAGCGCTCTTTAGTTAGCTCGTAGCTTCACATTTCATGTAAACTGACACAGAATGAGCGTGATCTAAAAACTCTTACTAACATCCAAATAATCAGTGAGTATGTTCTTCTTCTTCTCTCTAGTTCTTGACTAAAACAGCTTTTATACACAAGGGGAGGAGCCGGCAGTCCCGTCCATGTAAACACGGCTCTGACAACAACACAGCCAGCGGGACTCGAGCTTCTCCCTCATTGTAGACAGTCAGGACTCAGAGACACATTGACACAGGATAGACTGGATTTATGATTTAAGTGTCCCACATCCTTCCTTTAAAAAGCGCTTCATAGACTTTTTTAGAGTCACATATTCGCTACCCGTCGATAACAGCTCCCTGACCCACCCGTTGAGAACCACTTCACTAAACGAGGAGGACACCGACCAGCTGAGAGAGAGCAGCCTTCATAAGTCACAGACTGATGAAAACTGTTCAGCTCCATCCTCCTCCTCCATCCATCCAGCTGCTTTCAGCCCTGCAGAGCGATCGTCTCCGACCCGAGCTGCTTTTCAGACGCGCACACATGTTGCAGCGTTATTACCGATCATCACCGAGGTGTCCTTACCATCGAGCTTTAAGTCACAAAGAGGAGAGGCTGAACGAGGATCCTGGCCTAGAAAAGTCTTTTAATTGTGATCCAAATCGCTTCAGACGTTTGGAGTAAAAAATAAAAAACCAGACGGTCTGAGTCAAAGAGAAAGTGAGAGTAAGTCATGCCTTAAAGGAGGTGGACGCTGGTTAAAGGAGCTCGTTATTGAGTCCTCAGAGAGCGGGGGGTGGAGGAGGGTGGAGAGAGGGAAGGGGGGGGGGTGGATATTGATGTGTTAAATGCTGCATGAGGGAGGCAGCGTTGTGTTCCTGACAGGGCGCCCTCATTCTCCCGCCTCACCACAACAAATCATCTGGGAGCATTAGCAAACTGTCCTGACGCTGACTCCTCCTCCTCATGGTGGAAGAAAAACAAAACAACACAGCGAGGGTACAAATCAGACCGAGTTACAAGACAGGTTTGATTTGACTGACGACGTTTAGTCTCCTCATAAAAACCTCTTCTTTTTTTTTGCACATTCCACATTTGACGCCGTGAGTTTGACCTCCTGTCTCATTTTGTTTGTTTAAATCACTTTTTCACTCGTTCAGGACGAGCACAGACGCTGACGACTTTACTTGAAAACCGGCTTTTTAAAAAAAACTTTGCTTTGCTGTTATTTGAAAGGAATAAAGTCGTATGAGCCCTGTGTGGGGCCGTGTGATCTGTACTGTATGTCTTCTTGTGATCTTTGTATCGTTTGAACCAAAGAGGCTGTTCCTGCTGAGTTTCATTTCCAGAAACCTCGAGGGGCCTTAAGATGTTCAATCATTCAGTCATGAAGAAGAAACAACAAGAGGAGCAGCTGATGTGGATTTTCTTTGCAGACCCCTCTGAACTTTTAGTTTTTCTATGCAGTCTCATTTGTTTGAGCTGCTCCTCGTCTGATGTGCCTTGACTGTGCTGCCCCCTGCTGGTGTGAACATGGCGGTGCAGCCACTGATTTTTTATTTGCAGCATGCTGGGAAAAAAAAGTTTCCTCGCCGTCATCAGTCACAAGAGACTTTGACATCTACCTGAGGCTCAAAGAAAAACATGAACAGTGTGACCTCCTCTTCATCAGTCACTAAAGGGGAGGAGCTTAGATTCATCCAGATGAAGACAGACCTGACGTTTGTTGTTTTTTTGTCTCACTGCTGAGTTTCTGTCCGTGTCTTGAACCTGCTGCTTCAGTACTCTCGTCGTCTGTACTGTCGAAACGTTTCTGGTGAAGGGAAATCTGTTATTTTGTTTTCTTTTTATTTCTTGCACACTGAAGATTATACGATTGCTTCTTTATTCACTGAGAGATCTATTTTTCCATGAGACGAATGTCTGTAATTTTTTCTATTGTCAAATCAAACATTCTGGGAAGTGGAGTGTTTCTGATTGAAGAATAAATCTGATGAGAAACTGCAGAGCTGTTGGTGCTTTGTGAGTCTTTGATGAGTCTGCGTTAAGTGTTTATTAAATCAATACATGCACAGCTTTTCTCCTCTTCCATACAAAAGCAATTCACCTCACTAAAGTATATGTAACTCTGACACCTAGTGGTTAAAATGGGTACTGCAGTCTAAATTCAAAACATTGTAGAGAGCTGTCTCCCCCCCTCCTCTCTAGATGATGTTCACTCAGGTCCCATGTTGGTGGACTCTGAAGCTTCAGTGTTTATCCAGCTCTGCATGGGTCTGTAAACCTTCTGTGTTCTAACCTCTCCATTTTTCAAAAGCATCTCCAATATTGATCCTAGTTTGAGCACGTTTCTGCTCGTGG